AATTATTACTGTAAATTGTAAAGTAGACAAATAAGTACATTCTATCATAATACAATTTGTGAGCCAATATTGTAAAGTGCAGAGCGCGCGACGACATAACACTTTGGGAAACCGGCGATGGGCATGCACAGTGAACACATTCACATACATTATATTTTACGATAACATATTTTGTATTAAATTAATAATAATATAATATAAAATATTTATTATTATAAAATATAATATTTATAATTTTTTTCACTCTATACTGAGGCGGCACAGGTCAATTACACCCGGCCGGCAATGCACACACATACAACAACAACAATTTTCCCGTCAAGGTTACCAACATTTCGACACCTCCCCCGCACCACCGGCCAAGCCAGTCACCGACGGGTGATAGCCGTCGCAACAGCAGTGGTCGCGTACCGCGGCGGTCGACCGTCGGTTTTGTGTTACTACCGGGCGGCGACGTTAGGCCGGGACATTGTGCGGGGAAACGGCGGCGGCGCGAACACACGCGCGCGCGGAACGTCTTCGCCCGGGTCTATGGGTCTTTGTACGGTGAACCAGTTTTTCCCCCTATACAACGCTCCGGCGTCAGCGCCTCCTTTACACACTCGCATATATGTGTGTACAATAATAATAATAATAATATGCTCAGCAGGTAGGCATACACACACAAACGCAGGACCGAATGTGCCGTATACATGAAATAAATGCACTTAAACACACACACACGACCAGAGGAGAATGGAATAGACCGACAGACCCTTTTTATACGGATTTTTCGGAATGCGTCCCCAGACAATGGCAGATACCATAAATTTAGGAAGGTACAGGTACCCGCATTACAGCCCTGCGCGGTGTCCTTTTGCTGCACTAGACACCGACGAAACAATATTATACACCGTCATGCAGGACGACACTGCAAAGACTAGAGAGCTAAAAATATTACAAGAGCGCCTATAGTTATAATGCGTATTAGAGTATTGGACTGTCGCTGATGAAGAAAGAAAAATAAAAATACAATACACAAAAAACAATTTTCCATTTTCCGACTAGCGAATAGAAGAGAAAGTGCGGTAGCTACTTTGTGTTCATTACGATAGTTGTTGTCATCATCATTAAAGTTAAAACCATCGGAAAGCACCCTGTAGTATAGAAAATTCCAGGAAAATCATTTTTTCCTTTATCGATTTATTTTATATTAATACAATAATGAGCCATATCGACTACCACACATCTTGAACGTGATATATACAAAGCGCCACTTACTACTCTATATTTATTATATAAGTCTGCGTCAATACGGAACAAATACGAAAATAATATTACGAACATATGACACATTCAAGTTTTCCTTGTTGACTAAAAGTTCGTAAAAACCGTATTATGATATTATTATTTATTTTTCTATTTTACTTCGTCGCGAACAAGGAAAATCATACTTCAACTATCAAGTAAACTTAATTTAACATACGATATTAACTATTTTTGTTAGCAAATCAAATTCTAGCAAACAGTTAAAAGCTCGATTGAGAGGACGCTACACACAATTTTTTTGTCTCTGTCTTACAAGTGCGTAACATAGCAATTGTATACGCTCAGCAGTTCATATTTAGCTTTTTAGTTAAAAATTAAAATGAAAACAAAAATTCACATACAAACATGGATAATGTTCTTACAATAAGTTTCATAATAGATTCACTCTAATTTATAAAGTAAAAACGCTAAACGTGATCGGCTGAACATAAATTTGCTGTTATGCACGTTTAAGACGGAGACAACAAATGCGTGAGCAGCGCCCTTTTTAGTAAGGTAGTAAACAATTTAATGCGAAGACAATTTTAAGCTATTACACACTACAGTATTAAACTATATATAGTGTACTTGGTAAGTGGTATATAAGATAAGTAAAGAGATTAATTTTGAAAAATAAAAAAAATCACAGTTTTTGAACAATAATAAATTTTAATTTCTCACTAAAAAAAAAAATAACAATATTAATGTCAGCGCAAATATTTGTTTCCACTCTCAGACCCACGCACAATGGCACAATACCTAAATACTACACATTCAAGTGAGATCGTTTTTTTTAAATGATTTTTGAGTAATCTTAGAGTAAAATATTCTACTGCATAATACATACTAAAAACATAGAGGATAATATTTATGAGGATCTGACATATTGGTTTTATTCTTTATTATTATTTGATTTTATATTAGGTTAAAAATAAAATTACATTTTTGAAGAAAAAAAACTGTATTCTTTATCTTAAACAAAATAAATTGTTTGAGTTTTAAACAGTATATTATTTAAAATAACTTAATTTAAATTTAATATGTAATTTACTTATATGCGATATGTCAATAACCCGTGTACTAGTATATTATGTTTCACTGTTTATTTATTACATAATATGTAATATATTATATTAAATTTTAAAAGTATTTTAAATATTTTCTGAATGGATGTTTTATGTGGAAATTATATTAAGTATTTATTAACTATTATAAGTAAAAATATTTTAAATTTAGTAATTTATTCAATAAAATAAAAAAAAAACACAATATTCACTTGGATTATAATCGTTTTAAACAATGAACAAAACGTTCAAAACAAATTGTTTTAAACATAACAACTCTGATGTTTCATGAGAACCAGAGAAATAAAACAAATAATGAGCTGATATCCTCTAAAAAGTTAAAGCCATCTATTGAAATAATAATTTACTAGAAAGAGAATATAAACGCTACTACAGTGAAAAGAAAATAATATCAAAAATAAATTTAATGAGGTACAATCGTACAGATATTTTAGATATTCGAATGGTTTTTTTTTAAGGAAAATGTAAATGTACTTAAACGTATTTAACAAAACAAAATAATAATTGAGTTTTCTATTAGATTTTTTAAAATAATTAACGTAAATATAAATTATACACACTTATAGTGTTTTTGATTTGAATGAATCAAGTTAAATAAGAAAATATGTTTTAAAAAGCAGCAACAATGATACATTTGATTCCTACGTATAAAATGTGTACTTTTTAAAAAACAATTCAACAAGGTCTAACACGACCAAACAAGATAACAAAAACCGGAGCATATTATATTATAATACATACATATTATATCCCCCCTTCTCTTTATATTATACAACTTTAATATTATTGATTAGAGCAGATGATTATGGGAAAATGAGTTTACATCACAAACGGGGGCTGTTACAGTATTACTTGAATAAAGCCCGCATTCAATATACTCATATAGAGTAGGTATATGCTATATCAATATTATAATATTATAAACGCGTATCCCGCAGCCAACTCAACTGGTTTTAACTCAAAAAGTAACTGTCAACAGAAAAAATGTAAAAGGGGAATAACGTGTACTTGCACAAAGGGCGACTGACGGGAAAACACGGAGAGTTGAACCAGCGCCGGCGGAAGGGCAGGGCAGAAGGGGCATCTGCCCAGGGCCCCGCCATTTTGGGGCCCCGCGCCTGCATGTATGGTATTTGATAATTTGTAAGACCACAATTTTGTTTATCAATTTAAAAATACAAGTCTCGGCTGGCTATAGGTAAGTTATGTAAAACTGAAAAAAATTTCATACAAGTACTGAAGTACCTATAAGTAATAGGACTTGCGAAAATTTTTTTTTTACATTACATTAGGCTAGGGTCCATCAAAATAATCTGCCCCGGGCCCCGCAAAACCTCCCGCCGGCGCTGAGTTGAACGACCTTCACCCTCACATGTTCAAACGGTCTACTGATCACCATTGCTGCCTTTTTTTTCGCAGGATGTAACGTAAATTCAGAGATTTTCCAAACATCACACGCGTATACCAAGAGCCAATAATAGGGGTGTAGAGCTCAGCAAACGTTTATGAATTATTTTATGGTATATGAACAACTTATTATTTTGCAATTTTAATGTAAGCATAAATACAACAATAAATATATTTATTCTCCGTAGACCTAATGTCCTATAGTATTTATAAATGTGTGATTTACATAAATAATTTTTCCAATTCATAAGCATCCGGATTTAAATCTTAAAATGGTATAGCATTGGTAGATATTATTGAAAACGGTTTCTGCCATTGACAAGATAATATTATATTGTTTAACATTATAAACAAACAAACGGATTATATTTTTGGCGATTATTACTATATGCATCTAATTTGTATTCATAATTCAATAAAATATAAAAGGATGGAGCCATCTTTACCTGTCAATTGTCATTACAATAGTTTACAATTTACAACTAAAATTGAAGAAAAATCAGTAACTATAGAGATCGTCAATAATTGTATGTTAAAAATATCGAGCCATCTTCATACATACACAACAATAATCTCTGAGGTATATGCACTCGAATGAAACCATAAACACCGTATACGTTTTGTCTACAGTTACAAACACGCACAATAATACCTAGAGACAAAACAAGATTCCAACGTATTTTGAAAATACAACAAAAAAAAAATAATACAATGTATAGGTATACATTGAACATAATATTATACATACGGATTATTACACACACACTTATACGTGCGCGCGTGTGCAGACAAATATGAGCACCTATAACAAAATCCTCTAGGTACTTACTACTATATTTTACAAGTTATAAATAACATATATTTTACATCCAAATAGTGAATATGAATGTGTGCGGCTGCGTTAAACAGCCGCCCAGTCTAGGGCGAATAAACCCGCTATTACTAAAGACCTATGAGAAACAAAGAAGAGACAGGAAATACTGGTTTATAATGGCGAGGTAGGAAACATTGTTATAAACCGGGTGACTAATGCGTATTAGCTCGATAGGAATGCACGGTCCTATGCCACTCTACAATTTAATGTCATCGAATTATCCATCACTTCATCACGCGCGCGCACACACCGTGATAGTTATTACGGAAAATATAACGAATTTTTCCGGATTGCCTATAAATGGCATGGCCTACCTGTAGTCGATTATAACATAATAAAAAGGATACATTTCTTGAAAGAAATCCAAATGAGGCGGTTGCAGAATGTCAAGGGCGGATAATACCTATACAAGAGTAAAAAAAAAATTGATAGTAATATTTAGCATTAAAAACGACAAAATGAATAGCTTTTAAAAAACTTACGTTTTCGTGTTTGAAATTACATAACATTTTTAACTCTCTAAAAACTCGTTTCGAGGAGACTAGTGATTGAAAAACGTTTGGAAGCTTTTTCAACGCGACTCTTCGTCCGTCTCTTGGATCTGTTACAGCCCTGCAAATACAATTAAAACACTGTTATTATAATATTAAGCTTGGGTAGAGGTAAATTTTAATTTCCTAAATAAAACTAACACCATAGGTACCTATAAATATACATATATATATACAGTAGAAGATAAACAATATTATGCTGATATTAATACAATTTTCATTGAATCTATATGGCCTTGTTAAAAGTTGACTAATGTTCTATTCTTACAATGTGATTATGAATAAGAAATTATGTTTGGCAGAGACGCAAAAATCCACGGAAACAGTGCGCTGTAAAGAAAAAAACACTTTTGGCGCATATGAATCGGTTTCCCCTTAGGTCAGGGTCGGTTTCCGATCGTATATCGCACCGATATGACGTCCATAAAGTTTCTCAACATGCTGATGATAACCACTTCACATAATATGATAAAATACAAAAATATAACTTATTAAACAAGAATATTGGTACATTTTACCAGATGGACTACCAAAAAGTCCGTGGATATAAAGTTCGAGGCATAAAAGTCAACGGTAAAAAGGTTCTAAGCATAAAAAGTCTGTGGTGAAAAAGCCCGATACATATAATTAGGTAAAAGGAAAAATACGATGTGATGCACAATCAAACGTTCCAATTAGTTTTAATATAAATTGTAACTAAATGATTTACCTGACAAAATTAATAAATAGTCTTAACGATAGTTAATACTTAATTAAACTGAGAAATCATTATAATATAATATTATGTATAATGTATATTTATTTTGTATAAATAATAATTTTGATTTTTTTTATAGGTAATATTAGTACTTAATTATATTTTATACTTAGTAATTATAATCATTGCATTTTTTTAAATATATATTATTTATATGACGTCATGACGATATAGTTAATTGAACTGAGAAATCATTATAATATACTATGTACATTGTTATATATATTATCGAGATATTATATACCCGACTTTTGGCCTAGGACTTATCACTTATCAACCAATACGATATATTGTAACCGTTTTTACACTTGGTTCCATATAGTGCTTTAGTATTTTTTTTTTTTTGAGGTAAAACGAGGAGGTTACAAAATATTGTTTGAAAACCGATAAATAAAATATAGATAATATTATAAACTATCCTAACTAATTATTTAAGTATCAACATAAATAATACTTATATACAAGATACTAGAGAGAAGGGCACTCGTCATACAACAATTCGGACAACTACTGCAAAATGATGAATGCAAAATAAATCGATCATGTGCGGGTATAATTTCCCTCCATCATGCTGTACATGAATCTACATATATTTTTTTAACCACATACAACTTTTTTAATAACATTGTTTCACAGTTTTGATCGTTGTATGTACGAGAGATATTTGACTGTGTTACTGCTACTGATTTAGTAGATGGGAAAAAGAAAGCGTAGAGACGGTGTAGAGGTTTCATTGTTATGCTTTCGTTTCATATCAAAACGCCAAGTGGAACAAAGACTACGTTACGTCCCGATTGAAGAGGACAAGGCGTTTTCCGACCGAATACCGTTCGCTGGCAATCGTTGTGTCGACCTATCCTATATTTTACATTGCACCGCACCGTGTTCCTAAATTATGTTTTTTTTTTTGAACACAAGTCTAATTATTAAAGTACCTACATATTATTATATTATGCTATTTTAACCCCGTATTATTACATAACCCGCACCGCCGTTGTCATATTTATTGTTTATAATTTATATCATTCGGTATTCTTTCGATTTATTTCTTTTTGGTGAGTACCGCCGCGCTGTATAGGTACATGCGTGTAATATATATAATATGTACGTATTATAGGTGCTGTAAGTTTCAAGGACATATTAATTTAAATAAATTCTATACGAGCGCTACCAGGCACATAGGCACATACCACGGTTTTCAGACCGCACATATCATTTGATCCGATAAAGATGTGTATCTCCTACTCTCACCGCGGTTCTTCACAACCGTTTCACTCCCCACACGCAACCGTATATAAATATATAATTATTATTAATTATTTATACTGATACATACGAATTTAACTCCTATATCAAAACACCTAGATAGCTGTTATTTTTTTGTATTTTTGTTTTTATACGATTTCAACTTCTACATAATATACTACTTTTGTGGACACCTGTACCAGAGTCTCGACAACTGCCTTCTACAATCCAGCAGGTGGCTGACACACCACAGCTTGCAATCTTATATACAGCAGCCGACCACCAGCAGCACCGGTTAGATATTCTCAACCACAAATAAGCATATACATCCACGACACACACATACACCCATATATATATGATACCTAATAATAACGGCCTCCCCGTTGTACACACGAAAATAACAATAAAAACAACCCATGTGCATCATAAGAACATAATAATTAATATATAGCTATAATAATAAAAAAAATTATAAGTGCTGCGTCGTCGCACGTCATAGAGTTCTGTCCATACGCATATTATAATCGTCCTTTATTGACTAAATAGGTTTTCAACCAGAGTTTGTATAACGAGAGCGAGTAATAAATGTACGTAGGTGCCTAATATATAATATCATAAGATACGAGACATAAGATATAAGACATTCGAAGTAAGAGTAGAGGGAGGTGGTCGAAACCGTTTATTTGAAACTCGCGTCTGGTCACACGACGGTTTTCTTCGTGGGAAATTAGTGTTATGCCGCGTACAACGGTATACGCATGCGCATGTACTGCAGCAGAGTACCGCAGTCGAATTCTCTAGTGGGTTGTCTTTCTCTCTTCAGGTTTTGTGTTTATTATATACACACATATAACTATAATACTGTATACTATACTATAAGGTAGGTTTTTTTAATTTTTACATAATAATAATAATCATTAAAAAATACCCCGGAACAATGACCCTTCCACACAAAAACAACACAACATTCTAATTATATACCTAACACGCCATTCTGACACAGGACGTAGTTGGGAACAGTTGGCTTCTAAACGACGGTATACATGCAGCACACGGAGGCCTATATGGTATGCGAGCGACGTAAATATCGATTCATTTAAAGTAGCAGCCGCGACGACCGACTCGGTTGTTGTACCCGTCGTCCGCCCCACTATATATTATATGCGTACAGCACACAAACTCTGCTCGAACGGATCACTAAATTAAATATGGTTTGATCAACTTAACGACGCAGTTGTATAATATATACTATATATATAGTATGTGTTCACCATACGTTGTGCAGTTGTGTACGTTAACATTGACCCACGACAATATTATATTGTGTGTAATCTATGAACTGATAAAATGTGTTCATGCACAAAGGGCGTCCGTTTTCGAAATTCCAATTTTTTGTTTCGTATATACTTCATGATCTGCATTAAGTATTTAATTTATATTACACGACGCGGCCTAGTGAGGGAAAATTAATACATTGCTAAAAATATAGGATTTTCATTCATCTGACTGTTCGATGTCCGATCGTGTTGACTAAGTTCAGCAATATAAACTTTTGTCATTATAATACTTTTGCACTAAATTATGAAAAGTTGTTATTGTGTTATTAATAATAATTACTGTACTATGGTCAAACACATTATTTTAAAATATTTATAACGTTCATCATACATTTATACAACGTATAATATCATATAATACATATAATATCGGACGTTTTACAGTCATGAACGCACATAGATAGAGAGAGAAAGAGAGATACTTAATAATAACAAGTATTCCGTAATTAAAGAGTATTATAATATAAGATGCCTACGGGCTACCAATAATAGATAGTCCAAAACCGAAAACATTAGAGTAATTAAAAATTATTATTTATTGATTAAAGGACGACTTTTGGTTATTTGTTGATTTTTATTAAGTTTCATCACTTGAATTCAATTCATATTTAGAAAGTACCTACTAACTAAATTCTAAAGCCATATATTTTGGCTAAACTATGATAATGCACATATCAATACATCTGTCAAATATATTTCAAACGTTTTTTATGAATCATATTATGTTATTTTAGTAAAATTTAAACTTTAATTTTATATTATAAGATGATACGATTCAAGAATATAAAATAAAGAATTTTATCATAGCCACTCAATAATAAATATTAAATTAAATTACTCTTACATCATGATTTTAAAAAAGTTGTCCTATTATTATCATAATATTAATTTATGATTATATTGTCAGTAAGTATCAAATAAAGTGGACTACATGAGTTTACAACATCTATACATGTATATGTGGGTAGATACAGTTGAGGCATAACGTCTATATGGGGCGGCTCCAGTCCGAATAGGTTTTGGTTCGTTGATTATACATTTATACCGATACAAAAACCAGGGCAACCTTAAAAGTTACGACAGAGGCCTCACTGGTAGGTGACTTAGTCTAATATGTACAGATTAAATATAAGTGTATATATACATTATACATGTAAAAGCAAATATAGCAGTACAAACCATTGTGCAATACTATAAGGGCACTTGCTAATAATAATTACTACAATAAAACAATATCGTATGTACAGTCTCTTTCTTATCCACCTCACTTCTGTTTAACGAGAACAAAAGAAACATAAACACAGGACCAACAAAAAGTTTAAAGGGAGAAATAAAAAAAAATGAGTACCATTTAGAAGGCCGCAACAAAAACGTTAATAAAGTGATTACGTAATATAAAAATACCAAAAAAAATAAACTACTGGCAGAGCCACAAAAGCAAATAGCTTTATCATATAAAGCCAATTGAAATATACTCAACAATGATATTAATATATTATATATTATACAGAATATTGTATATATGCACGTACGAAAAGATTTGTGAGCATTATAACTTATATGCGTATTATTTATTTCCTGAACACAAAGAACGCACACGCACAGTGCATATCAGGTAATGCAACATAATATGAAATACCGAGGTAGAATAGTATATTATCGGGCAACTTTATCCTGAAGCAGCTGAGAGTCGGTATACCTGCTGAAAAGGGTCCAGACGTATCCAATAACTGGTCGGTATTTTTCCGCCGTGCACAGATGTTAAGGTTGCATGCAATAGGCCATCACACCTGCTACTATGCTATACACGCTACGACAGGCAGCCCTTATAGTCCTTCCAAATCCAGTCTCCATACAACCAAACACCCACGACAAAAAAAAACAGGTTTGATCCCTCAAACAGACAATATGTACCCACATCTGGCTTCCCAGTTCGCCTTGGAGTTTACAATTTTCATCTCAAACGCGAACACGTACAACATTTTTTCGGGTTGGTTCTATATTTTGTTGTGTTCTTTAAAGAACAGTAACAAAGATATTATAAAAAATAAACTATAACTAAAATGGCCAAACTTTCTTTTTGCAACACTATATATCATAATCATAGAAACTTTTTTTTACATTAACAATTAAATCAGTAGGTCGTACTAGTCATATGTTGGTCTATTAGAACAACATAATGGGAAACCTACTTATTATCAATATTTCTTATAAGACTTATATGAATGCGTTTGTATACTTGTACACTTTTCAAACACGTTCTCACGCTCAACTAACAACCATAATTTTTATCTGTTTTATACTTTTGTATTTTTTTTTACCAAAATTAACGCCAATATTGATAATAATAATAATCATGAAATAATAATAAATTAAGATACATAATATTATTAAATTTCCGAAACAATATAAAATGTGTTTTGTTTTATAAAAAAATAATCTAATTTACGAGTCTAATTTACAATATGTAGCGCAATAGTAATGGCTGTGTATGGGCTAGGGATTAATGTTGACCTCAAGTGGATTAGGTAATTACAAATTTTAAGTGGTCGATAAATAATGATAACAGAGTATTTATTCTTTTAAATATTAATTAAGAAGAAATTTAACTAATAAATAATGATTACATATTAAATTCCTTGGAATACATTATTTAAAATTCTTTACAATTTCGAATGATAATTTTGTTTTACAAATCAATTGTTTAACTAGTTGATTTTTTTTAAATACCTGATAGCATTCAAATTAAGCAGCCTCCAACTATAACATAGTCAGTTGTTTAATAAACCATACGTGACTTGGACATAATGTTGTTTATACAAAAGTCTACAACTAAAGAAAAATAATTTGAATATTATTTAAATGTAAAAAGAGTATTTCGTATTTTTTTAATTTGTAGGTCAAAAAACTATTTAAAATTGCATTAGGTACATTTACATTATGTTATCATAATTATTGACCCTTTGGTATTATTAATAGTTACCTAGATATATATATACTAATGAAATACTGGCAATACCATATCAATAGTTTGTTGTCAACAATTATTTTACTTTTCCACATATATAGGTATAATATAATAATTATTTTTAATTCAAATTTGTTGTTATATAATATCTATTGGAAATTAAATTAAGCATACCTATTTAAAAATGGTTAAGAATTATAGAAAAAATGATTGAGGTAGGTACCTACCTTTTTTTTTTTTTATTAAATGCAATAGGTATTTAATTAAGTAAATAAAAACTAAAATATGGTACAATACTTGCCCCTCATAACATTCCCCACCACTGACCTAATTTTAAGAACATAAAACAGAAGCCTCCTGATTACAGACTTTCCCCGAATCAATTTTACTATTTTTCAGATGTTATGTAACATGTTTATTATCCATACTACTTAAATATTATTATCTATTAAACATAGATATGTTTGAATATAGTAAAATAAACTAAATATTTATATTAAAATTAAAAAATAATCATAACGCTATAGGTATAAGGTATTGCAGAAAATGTTTGAAAGTTATTTATTTGTAATTCTTGTACATAAATAATATGGTACCTAAATTGTACACAATTGATACACAGTCTTTATAAAAATACCAATAAGTGTTATAAATATTATACTTGGGGTATTTGTATTGATTACTTATATTTAGCATAAAAGTATAAAAATGTTATTATGTAATGTTGAGGGGCAAATGGTTATCATATTGAGTAACAATAACATAGGTTATTAAGGCCACAATTAACATAATAATAACTATTACTTACAAAACGTCTTAAAGATCTTAATGGAAATATAGCAACAATTATATATACATAGACGCAAATCACCCAAAAATATCAGGGGGCCTTAGCACCAAAATTTTTTCAATCTGTTTTTGAATTTTTATAAATGTACCTAGTTATAATAGAAATATTATGGTGGTAGTACTAAAAGTTATAATCACGGGATTCGAGGTGCTAGCATTAAAAAATTCAGAATGCTAAGGACCCTTAGCTCCCCTGCGATTTGCGTCAATGTACCTATAATCTATATATAATAGCAAAAATTTTTTTGATTTTAAGACATATTAATTACCTACCTAAATCAAAAAAAAAAATTAGCGGCTAATTAGTTAATATATATATCATATAGTACAACTTCTAAATATTGAGAATATAATCACTGAAATTTTATCCACTATTCCGAGGGTTCAGTTTATAGAAAGTTAGTAGCGGTTAGTAGTTTGTTCCTAAAAAACTTCCACCATTTGGAGGTACCAATTAGGGGAGGTTGCACTGCACTAACAGGAATCGGACATCTGGAAGTCAAAGTAGGTGAGCTAATCTTCAACTTGACAGTCTAAAACCACAAAAAATTCTCCAAGAGATTTAAGTATAATATTAACTTGTAAACTAGTAATCCTAAAAATAGTACATAATACTATGTTGGTGAATGGTACCTATATAAGTTAGGTGTATCAATAAAAAAAAATCAAACAGACAAATTCTTAATGGTGAGACCGCAAACAATCAAAATTTATAAAAATATGTAGTAAATAAGTCTTCTGTTAAATGAATATATTAACTGAGTAATACATAATATGTTATTACTTATTTCATAACTCATAAACGCATAACTGAGTTTTCCTTGTAATTTTTATCTTTGCACTTTGACAGAAGGTAGTTAGAAATTATGAGTAAGATTTTTATGTAACTATAAATTTACCGATTAATATTCAATACTAAATAATAAATATACAGTATTCAAGTATTGGTAGGTATTTAAAAAACAAACCTAATGATATAACAATATTTAACAGTATTTAAATGTTTCGTAGTAAAGGAATTTTTATAATATAGGTTTTCTTAACTCGTAAAATTACAAAAAAATTTAAATATCATATAATTGATTTTCAGATTAATAAATTGAAAAGAGGTATGGATTAATTTGTTATAGTTTAACAAATAAGGATAATACGAGGGGTAATATTATGTTTAAACAAATTAATTTTAATTAACATATAGGAATTCTTTCTGGGTAACCTACTTACAGTAATTTTTCAAAATAAATATCGCTATTATAGGTATAAGGTTTCTATTCAAATACCGATTAGATTATTGTTTTTACTCAAAATATCTTGAATATGATAAAACAAAAACTACAATAGAATATTTAATTTTAGAGCTTTCTTTACAACTATTTTAGATACCTAAATGAGATTATCTATTAACTCATTTACATTTTAATCAGGGTTTTAATCTTTATGTTTGTATTTATTCAACACAGTGTTTTGTTTATGATTGGGCGCTATGCAATAATTTTCAATAGGCCTCTGTCGGGGGTAAAATTATTAGGTTGGGTCCCAGGTCTAGATAAAAATGGTTTAGGTCTCTTGAAAATGTCTGTGAAAACCAGACCTACACTAAATTTTACCTATAAACTATAGAGTGTGTATATACCCTTTATATTCTTGTGCATCGTTGGTCATCATATGTGTTATATATTTATAAACCTTATATACCTAATGGATAATATTGATAAATAAATATAGGTATATGTATTTTGTATACATTTATTTGTGGGTATTTATGTATTTGAAATAATTTTCAGGATATAAATTTATTTCTACCCAATTTTCAATATTATTAAATATTTTATCACAGGTTTTTATATAATTATCAAGAATATAGTCAATACAGATCATTCTACCTATGTTAAATATTGTTTGTATAGGTACTTAAATTAAAATTCAGTACTGAATATTTATTGTATAATAATTTATTATCCAACTATTTCAATTTTCAACAGGTATAAGTATGTATGTACTACGACACGGTGGAAACTAACCAAATTTAAAAACAAATACAGTGGTCTTAAATAAGTAAGCTGATAGGTACATTAAATTGGTCTTCAAAATTCAAATGATGAAATCTGTATTTATTGTAAAGGTAACATATTTTTATGGAACTACCTAATAATGGTAACAATGTTATCACCACATCACTTATCAGTTAATACTAAAATAATAGTTAAACATATATATCTCATGCACATAAATCTAATGTCTTAATATCCGTGTATTATACTTGAAGTATAAGGATTAAATTATTTATGTACCTATGAAAGTGGATATGGGTACCTACTTTAAAGACAGTGTCTTGGTATTTTTGGTTCACTACATTGAATTGGGTATCAAAATATGAGAGATTAGGTACGTTTATTGTATAATATTGAGTACCATCTTACTTAGTTCATAAGAATCCATTGTTGAGTAATAAAAGAAACATACATATTATAAGGATATTGAGTAGTACAAGTTATGCACATACTGAAGCTCTATAATGTGGAGGGATATGTCATACCGGATAACAGAATCTATGTCTCACGAGTAGGTATTGTTTCAAAGCAGGGGTATACCGTCTACTACAGGTAGTTTCAATGAGTATGACAAGTACATTTAACAGGCCTGCCTAATGATATTTTATAATACCTACAACAAAAAAAGTACCTATGTAAAATGCTGAGTGTTGTTTGTGTGCTAGCGCATCACACAAGGCAAAATCAGTACCTTGGAGCCCCCTAAGAACGACATAATCGACGGTGAACTTACCAGACGACTCCGAATGCGCCGTATCCAATTGGTCTGTCCGGTTTGTAGTCCACCGGATGTGCAGTGGCCGATTGTGCGGCATGGTGTGATTGCTGCTGAGCGTGGAAAAACTGTTGCGAGGCGCTGGCCTGCTGGTGGTTGCCGACTGGACCGTTCGTCGAGCCCTGCATCAGCGACATTGACACCCTGGAGTGTCGGCTCGGGCCGACCACAGCCATAACAGTACGTCAGTGACGGTTAGTCCACGAATTCCGGGGCACGGCTGGTTTCGTTCTCATTTACGGTGAGAGATAATCGACGAAGACGAGGACGACCAGAGAACGAGCGGATCCACAGACACGGTTGGCTACGTAAATCTCGTTAAACGTTATGTATTGACGTATGATGCACGTTTTAAATTATTTATTATATTATATTATAAAAAATAAATATTTTATAATCGAACAAAAATTGTTGTTTTTGTCTCGGTAGTGGGACACTTAAGCGTGTGATAAGAGTCGACGGGCAGTAAAACAATAGGTAATAACAATTACAACAACAACGTACACGTTGATAATGAAAGACGTTCGATTAAACAAAAACACAAGAGAATGGGACAATATTATTATTACAACCGTGTTCGAGCGCGCGCAGCCCGGGACCAAACTCACAGAAACAACGAACGACCGTTTGCCAAGTCGTACGACCGACACTGAATCAGATTATCAGAATTCAGAATGACTACAACTGATTGAGAAAAGGGAGAATCGGGCGCGCGCACGCATTATGACAAGCATACAGCCGCGGCGGCCTGGCGCTCACGCACGCACTACACCGAACGGCGGGTCAATGGAAGTGATAAATGGTTGCAGTGCTGCCGGATTGTGGAGTGGAATGAGTTTTACGGTAAAAATGGGCAACAATATTGTGCACGTCGGGCAAGCCGGCGTTCGACTCGACGTTTGCCACATATTATTATTATTGTACGAATAAAGAATAATATAGAGGGTAGCTGCTTGGGTAAACCGAAAAAAAGTCCGGGGAAAAAAAGTCCGGGAAAAAAAGTCCGAGGAAAAAAAGTCCGGGAAAAAAAGTCCGAATAAACGGAAAAAAAGTCCGAGAAAAAATTATTTAAATATAAATTAGTTATTAAATTAAAATAAAATTAGTTCCTAGAAAAATATTAAACAAAAATATTTTATTAAGCTTATTTTTTTTCAAATAATATGTTTTAATCTCTCTGTATGTCTACTATATGGAGACAGGTTTACACAATGATATTTCAGTTAGGGTCCAGGGGTATTTCCGTATAAAACTAACGAGTAACATTACTACAACTTATCTAGAATATACCTACCTAAGATATAATATTATATCACTAGTATAGTCAACTGTGTGTCCTAGGTCATAGCAGTCTTAACAGTAATAGTGTAGTACATAATTTTATAATAATCATCATAATGGATAGTGTAAAATTAATAAAAAATGGAAAAAAAATTGTTTGTGGTGGATTTACATATACAATCCAGCATAAACTAAAAAAAAGTATAAGATGGATATGTTCCAGAAGTCTTTGAAAAAATGTCCTGGTGTATTAATTACCAACAGAGGTAAATACATGTATATTTATAATATATTTACGTATTGTCATTAATTTATATATGTAAAAAATATATTTATATATGCAGATTTAAAGAATCCAAGCTTAGATGTAGAACATTCACATGCTGGTGATCTACACATCGGAATCGTCGAAAAAGCAAAAGAAGAAATGAAAAACCGATTTATAATGTCAACAAATACACCTTCTCAAGTTTTTGCGGAAGTAGTCAATAATTTGCCAAAAGAAGCTCTGAAATCCATGCCAAAAGAAAACACCGTAAAAATTTAAAATAATGATAAATAATAAAATATGTTTTTGTTAATTTTTCTCAAACAATGTAATTACATTTATACAATTATTTCAATTTTTAATATAATAATTTAATATATAAGTATTTTTAAAATTATGATGATAATTAATGCATAATTAATAATTATGTATACTAATTTAATAAATAATATTATTTTTAAATAATTTTTTCTGGGACTTTTTTTCCGTTTATTCGGACTTTTTTTCCCGGACTTTTTTTTTCGGACTTTTTTTTCCTAATATCAGCTGCGTGAGAGTTATTCCAAGACAATTATTTCACAGCTAAATTAGTAAAATGTGGTGGTGTTGGTTTGGTAGTGGGTACTGAGAAAGTATTGGGTGGGTACTTACCTAAGTATTTTATATTTATATAATTATATGCAATATTGCAATTTTGAATTTACAATATTATTATACTGTGTAGTCTATACTCTATACTGTAATAAAGGTGCAAATTGGGAGGAAGGCTTTAGACCTTAAAAACATTTATCAAATTATTAGTATTAATATTATTATTATTTATTATTAATATTAGTATATAGTAGAGCTTCAACCTCCCTAAATCTAAAATTATATTTACGCCTATAGTCTATAGGTAATTATACTTTAGATTAGAATTAAGATAATAATTATGAATTTTTTAACTTTTTAGTTTACTAGTGACGATCCAATTTTTTCAAAATGCGTTAGAATTAATTATTAAACATAAAAAATAAATGTAAATTTACCATCAACTTTTTTTTTTAATTACTCATATACTCTAATAACAATTTACTCGAGAAAGCTTGTATTAAGTGCCCAAGTTTTTTGACCATAAATGAAAACATTTTAACGACAATTATTGAAAAGTTGCACATGCCAAAAAAAATAGTCAAAATACTTTGAAATGTATAGTGTATACCATATTACCATATATAGAAAATTTTAACTTAAATAATTAGAGAAAATTACAGGTGTCTGCGGTTATTCTTGTTTAAATTATTACAACAAGATAATAAAATCGATTATGATAAAAAAATCAAAAGAAAGTACTGGGAATTTTGTACTTTTGACCTCCTAATATAGTAATATGCAACTATATTTACCTTTATACCAGAAAAGCTATTGAAGTTGAAAATTAAAGAATATTTAATACTATAAAAAGGATCTTTTGACACAAATAAAAACACGTATCATTGTAAAATAAATAGGTACATTCAACAGAGCCACTTATTGGAATCTATAAAATGAGTAATGAGTTATGAGTATAAAAATGAATAAATGCATACAAAATTTAAAATACTTATACTATATCAGAAATTAATTTTCTGTTTCTTTTATCAATTGTTTGTTTTTAAACAAAATGAACATTTAGTAAATAATATAAACAACAAAATAAATTTGGATAAGCCATGAAAGTTTGAGGGACAAACCTCATATGTATCATGTATGTGTATATCATAAATTAATAACTTACTAATTAACAAATCATTTAAAATGATGTTAGCACTTCCTAATTTTACACCTAATTTACAACTTCAAATATATTAATAGTAAAATGAATACTGTGATAGAAATATAGAATAATATATAATTAACTAAATATTAATAAATATTGTTATTGAAAAAAAAATCATGAATCATGTTTCTGTCGGAGCACAGTTAAAACTTAAAAAGTTTGAATATTTATACGTCTCAAATTTATTATTTTAATTTAAAAATGGCATATTTTATAAATTATTTGAATATATGTAATTAAAATTCCAAGTACCTACCACTTTTATTAAAATATAGAAAAACAAGGCCATTGTTATTTAAAAACTTAAAGTTGATACTGGTTTGTTACATTAAATATGTATCAAATAGGATAAAAATATATTAAGACGTAAATAATTTTAAAAAACCAGTTGCCCGTTGGTCTTATTATATTGTTGTATCATTGATTAAATATACTATATATACTACTACTACTTTTTAATATATTTTAATCAATGGTTGTACCTATTAATTATTATAATATTTATTTTTTTTTTTCATTGGTCTTTAGCCCGGCAACTGAGGCCGTTAGCTTTTTACTAATAAATTGTATTTGTTGTACCTACATACTATAGTTGTATGACATAAACTATATATTACATTCATTGCGAAAAAATATATTTTTTATAAAATAAAGTGATATTAAATACAAACCTAGGAAGAACACGTATTTTATTAAATATATAATACCGTCGTTTGTGGTTACTTTGCTCCCTTCGGGTTAACTTTGCTAAAAAAAAAAACTTTGGTGACACCGTTTGACTTTGAAAATTGTGATATTTAATTGTTTGTTTGTGCGTTGTTGGAAAAACTGTTAAAGCTATTTCATATCTTACCTCCATAAATGAAGGCAGTTTTCTCTGTTATTAGTGCGTTATCATTTGTGGCACCGTTTAAACGCGGGAAAATTAAACTCTCAAACTTTTCTTCTTGAAGCGGAGAGCACGTGGATTTTGAAGGCAAGATATCACTCTTTCACGTCAGAAAATTATCGAGAAAACGATACTGTATCAAAATTTGAGTTTAAACAGTTTTTGAATAATTTAAAAGCAAATTTCATGATTGGGGTAACTTTGAGCCACTGTAAAAAGCGTAAAATTGCTAAAGTATTTTACCATAGTAAATTTTGACTCAAAGTTTACCAAATCAATCATCCATCCTAGATTAAATAATATTTGGTTTTTCTCAATAAAAGTCTTTATTTTTCATAGACAAAAATGACTTCAATGTACAAGAAAAAATTAAAATTAATACATTTTTTGTCTATTATTCTTTTTATTGACCTATTCTCGCTATGTTTGGGCAGAAAAAAAATTTCAAAGTGTTATTCCTAGTTTTTAATGGTGCTGTTTCTTTTTACAACTGTTAACATTGCTCCAGTCACTAAATTATACTATTCCTTGACCCTTTCATGAAGTGGGGCAAAGTATGTAGACCCTATGGGTAACATTGCTCCATTTTTGAAAAAAATAATTGTGTAATTAGATATACTCATTTTTAGGTCATAATTAACTCTTGGGAACTCTAAAGAATCGAACTATATAAGCACAATATATTTTTTTTTAAATAAAATACACTATAAAATACTATAACAAAAAACAATTTGAAAAATCGGAGCAAAGTAACCCCAAACGGCGGTATTAATTTTATTATGAAATATATATTTTGGATTTTGGATAACTCTCCGGCCAACCACACTAAATATAAGACAGTAGGCAATGTCACACTGAACTAAATATTTATTTCAGTTGTGATCGGTGATCACAGAAAAACGAGAACATCGTTGTAATAACCAACGGAAGTAGAAAATCT